ATATATATTTTTTACTTGTTTTGAAGGCAAAGTAGCATCCTTGGAACACTGTTTTCTATCTTCACTTCCTGCGCCTACTTTCTAATGTTGCCTCATCATAGTTACTCTCCATCAATAATAACTTTACCTCTTACATGGATATTTCATTCTCGACGAAAATTACATTGAGAAAAAAATTTATTGTGAACAAATAATATTATTTTTTTTTTTTTTTTTTAATTATTAAAATCAAAATTTTTAATAGCTACAATAAAATATTTTTTTTAATAAATTCAGTGTTGATGCTTATATAAAATGATAAAAAAATAATTCATAAAAAAAATATATTGTTATTGTAATCTTCGTTTTATAAATAAATTTTTTAATGACAGATAACTTCTAAAATAATGAAAATTAAGTAAAAATGGTTGAAATAAAAGTTGTTCTTCTTAAAAAAAGGAACATTTTTTATTTAAACTATTTTTCTCTATCTATAATAGTTTAGCCAAAAAACACACTAAAAACAATTAAATTGCGTTTATTTAAAAAATGATAAATAAGTAATGATTAAATTTATTGACAAAGACACTTATCGTATGATGGAGTAAATGAAATGTTGTTATAATTTCTTAGTTACCATAATTGAATAATATAAATCATGAATATAAATTAACAAAGTCTAATAATATCTATCAAGAATCATAATAGTATACATGAATTTTGTGATTTAATTAATTAATAACTGAACGAATTAATAATCAATTAATAAGTAATCTTATTATCTTATTTTCGTGTGGCTATTTTTAATCGATAAACTAATTATGAACAAGAAATTTCAATTAATCGATTTGACAAACTGCTTATTTAAGGCATTTGATAAGAGGTTTATTATTACAAAGAGTTAGAAAAGACAAGTGAATGGTTTTATCGAAACTCGTTTTGCATCCAGGTTTTAGCTGTATATAAAATAGAAGAGTCTATGAAATATTAAATGCATTTATATTTGATTCAGAAATAAAATTGATGTCAGAAAAAAAAAGAAAGTAAAATAAGAGTTAGGGAGGGAGGGAGTTGAAGATAAAGACATTGAAAATCAAATTTATTCACTGAAGAAAGAAGGAGGAGGTCGTGACAAAATAGTGATCGCAATGAACCAAAAGAAAATCTTGGCATCTCTATTTTTCTTTCTTCAATTTCTCTTTTTTATCTCTTGTTAACTCTTTTTTCTTCACGTCTTTTATTTATTCCTTTCGAGTTAAAAACAACGAAAATGGGACGTGAAATGAAATTATTCTTGTGGCATGTCTCTCTTAAATTCAATAAAATGCGCATGCGTTGCACTCCAATTCTTGATGTTTGACACAGAACAGACGACGGGGAACCTGCACACCGGATCGTCAACGAGAATGGGGTTATGCCGCGTTGTCGTCGTTGATGCTTTTCTTATCTTCTTTCCCTTCCTCTTAAATTCATCTCACTTATTCGTCATCTCGGAATAATTTGGGTAGCAACTGCATCCAGAAAAGTTATTTATTGACTTCCAAACTTTAGAAATTTTTTACCAGAAAAAAAAAACAAAAAAACTTGTCAAGAGTTTGAATCAAATATTGGACCATGAAAACATTTGCTTGATTAATTTTGTTCTTTTTAATTAATTCAAAAGTCATCTTGTTAGTAATTTGTCACAAATATTTGAATACTTTAATTATATTAAAAGTATGATGAACTTTGTCATCTTTTAGATCATTATTATTTTTTCGATTTTAGTGGAAATTATTTTATTGGTGAAAATAACTTTTTAATTTTTTTGTCAATAATTCAGGTAGCAACAGCAATTAGAGGAATCAATTATTGACTTGAAAATTTGATCCTCTGCAGCTTTTGATTGATTATGCTAATAATGAGATAAATCAAAACTATATTTAATTATTTATAACTAATTGAATTGTTATAAACAATAAACAAAAAAATCTGGACATACGTACGTACAATTATACGTACGGACGTCTTTTTTTAAACCGTCTAATATGTTTTTAAATATCTCTAAAATAAAATTGAAAGATATATCAAAATTACGAATTTAAACAATCGACTCCATTACAATAACTTCTTAATGAAGAGTTAATAATTAATAATTCATCATTAATTAATTATTGTTACCATTGTTAAATTGTTATTATGGTTGTTAATTATTGTTGTTGCAGGATTATTGTTTATTTCTTACAGAAATATTAAATAAATCTTCCAAAAAACTCTCAACACCTTTCCATTATTCAGTACATTATTTAAAGAGTTTATTAATTATGCATCGAATTACCGTAATTATTTACTATCGGCTAACGAAGCTTATTTGAGAATAACATTTGTGATTTTATTTATCTAATACATTAATCTAAAAAGGATTTTCAATAGTTCAATTTTTTATTACCAATTAATAGCTCTATTTTGATTCAACTTTGGTTTCAACCTCATTTCAGGTCACATGTTTATTTATAAATACTTTTTTAATTTTGTCTTTAACCATTCGGTGGATTGGGAAAATTGGTATTTCCACAAAAATAGCTGGGTTAGCAACAAAGTACAAAAAAATCAATTATTGACCTACTTTACATATTTACTAATGAGTCAAAATTAAAATTATTTTTTTTTTTATAAAATTTCCCATCTTAAGTATCCAAAAATAAACTAATTATCGGAAAATTTTTAAAATTTATTAATTTAATCGTACAACAATTATTAATATTTCTTTAATTATGACTTATCAGATTAAAATCTTTTATTCAAAAAATAAATTAAATTTTTAAATTAAAAAATTTTCTTCCATGGAAAATGTAATTCCGAGTAGTACTTACAGCGACATGAAGTTAAATTCGAAATATTTATTTTCTTAAAAAGAAATAATTTTATTTTATTAAAAAAAAAAAAGTGGACTTTTTTAATTCAAATTTAAAACTCGCACTAATTATCATTTATTTAAAACTTTAATCTCCTAATAGTCCTTGTATACATAACATAAATGTTTTTATAAATTTTCCAATTTAGTATAGCATAAAACAGAATTTTTAATTGACGTTAAACCTCATTAAAACTCGATTCAAGTTTTAAAAAAGAATCTTTTTCATACACCTGTCAGGAATTTGAATTGTAAAAAAGGTGTGGTGATGGTATAAAATATACTGTTGTCGTCAACCCTTACTCTCTGAGATTTGACTATCGTGAAAAAATAAACGAGACAAAGTAATACAGAGGATGAAAATGAAAGAGGAGAACGAGGCCAGAGTATTGATCCTACAGTGGCGGTTGACACATTTACCAAAAAGCTTCGCGTGTTCTACTTTTCGTGTGAAAGAACAAAAATGTTAAAGGAGGTGAGATTGCAAAACTATTTCTATTTTTTTTTTCTTTATCTTTTACTTCAATTTTATTCAAAAGTTTTTTTTTATCTTTCTATTGACATGTTTTTCATATCACACCCTTTTACTTTTTTACCTTGAACTACAAATTTCATTATTTTCATTGTTATTTAAATATTTTTCTCCTTACAAACTTAATTAATTTACATCTTTATTTTATAGTCAATTGATAACTTTTTTAGCCTGTTTATTTGATAAAACTTTAAATTCACAATAAATTGTCTTTAAAGTAAAAAGTAATTGAATTAATTTTATTTAAGTAAGAGGGAGGATTTTTCTATTTAATAGTATATTGATTTCAGAGAAAAGGAGCATAAGAAAATGAGATAACTAAATCTACCATAGCACAAATTTTGATTAGACCTTGAAGGGTGAAAGTGCGCAGAATCAAACAACCCTCAATTTTCTATCCGATCCCTAAACTTTCGCCCTTTATCCTGAGTACTTCACAACACTCTCCCTCTCATTTTATCTGTTAAACAACGATATGTTGTATTCAGCCAACATACTACATCTAACCGTGCCGTCAACAAGCTCTGATGTTCCGTAATAAATTTCATTATGCTGACCATAGTACAAAGCAACCAATGAGGTTAGTTTACATGAAAACAAAGAACCAAAATAAATGGGAAATTAATGACTTAAAATTACTTGATTGAATATTTTTTGATTAATTAATATTTTATATATTAAATACAATATTTAATTAATTAATTATAAATCAAACATTAGAATTTTATTTTGTAAAATGTAATATCAATAATTATTAATTAAATATTCAAATAGTTATTCGGTCAATTTATTTTTACAGTTGAAAAAAATAAATTATTTAAAATACGATGAACTCATGGCATATATTTTTTTTTAAATTAAAGTCACTAGGTCACTGTTATGAATGTGAAAAAAATTTTCTCTTTATTTTTACTGTTATAGAAAAAAGAGTATATTTTAAATAAATCATTAATTTGATTAATAAAATGGAATATTAGTAAAAAAAAAAAAAAATTCATCATCAATTTAATGTGAGAATATAAATAATAATTACGTTGGTAATTGGTATGATAACCTTGTTCAAATAGAATAAATTGTTCTTTATATAATCATTGTAATTTTCAGTAGTTTATATTTAAAGGTAAATTAAGAACACTGCGGAGATTAGTTCTAGCGACACAATACATATTTTTTATCTGTCCATCTGGCCTCTGTTTAGCATCGTATAATTTTTTACAATAATTACAGTTGATGATGTATTTCTATTTCTATGTCTACGTTATAGGAGACTAAATTAACTTTTTTTATGGTAAATAAATAGTAAAAAAAAAAAAAATAGCATACAGTATTATTAAAATTATTATTTTTCAATGAATTCAGCAAAAAGTAATTAATGATAAATTATTTTATATTAATTTCTATAATTAATATACTCCAACTTCATTGTATTGGATTTATCATTATTACATGAATCATTAACATTACAAATAACAATGCAATTAAATGAGTCTTAATTAATTATTGACTTAGACTAGTCTTTGTTTAAAAACAATTTTTTTTTTTTTTAAACTAATGATTCTAAAACTCACTTAATACAAAGTGCCTTTATTTTTTCAGATATTTCATCAAGCAAAAACTTGGTCAGTATGCAGTCCATAAAGTGAATAATTAAAAGCAGGAGATTAGTATAAAGCCAATCAACACCATTACTTTAAAAAAAAAAAAAAACAAAAAACACCTGGAAGATTTCTCTTTCATTGAAAAAAAATCGGTGGAAAAAAAATCTAAAGTTTTTTCCCTTTTAATGCGGGTTTTTACCCATACAAATTGAACGATTCAATGATTATCCCAACAGTGCACAAACGAAACACTAGTGTAAGCTCGGGAATGTTGCCAAATGGGTCAGAGCACGAAGCTTGAGAGATTGGTGAGAGAGGTGAAGAGAAGAATAAAGGGTTTGAGGGACAAGAAGAGCTTGCGGTGGTAAGAGACGATGAGAACTACTCCGTGGGCCAAAGGTGGGGAGGAGAGGGGTTAGCTCGGTCGAGGGTTGCCAAGAGTCTTGGTGAGGGGAGCAAGAGCACGAGGGTGAAGGCAATACAGGGCCAAGAGTGTTTGATCAATACTTGCTGTCACCTACGTTGGCACCGTACTTCAAGCCGCATGGTAACAGAAAATCTGAAAGGCCTACATTTCTCTACTTAATTCTAACATCAATGAATTCTTTTGCTTCTTTTTAATCTTATTTAATTATTAATTTTATAAGCTTTGCTCTTCTAGCTCTTCTTTGACATCTTCAATACAGATAATTCTCCTCATCATACTATTTTTATCGTTATTTTTATTAATATTCATTTTTTTATGGCTTAAATTTCTTTAAGATTGTTGAAAACCTTCCAGAATAAGGAAAAAACAGAATTGAAAGAGGATTATCATTTTTTAATTTTTTTAATTGAATAACTATTGTATGATGATTACAAATCGAGGATAATTCAGGTGTTCAGTAATAATGAAACGCTTAAAATGTTTAATAATGAAATATCTAAGTGTTTAAAATATTGAACACCATAAACAAATTTTTATTAGTCAAGTTACAGTAAAATTTATTAGAAAAAAAATTACCTACAGTAGGTAAACTTTTAAAATTTATCAAGCATTTTTAGATCTGATTTTTTTTTTTTTCAAATCACCAATGACTTAATTTATTATTTCTTTCAAAATATTCCTACCAATCTCAAAAATCATTTTTTTCTGCAGACATTTGTTAGGTGTTAGAATTACCTCAATCACTATTACCACTGTTATTGTTTCAACTATTTGAAACATAAAAACCAAAAAATATCAGTTATGAACTCTTTTCCTTTATTTGATTTTTATTCTATTGAAAACAGAAATTCAAACAAATATTAAATGAACGACACAATCTAAACCGTCTCTTGAATTATTTTGGTTTATTTATTTATTTTCATATTTTAAAAAATTCCGTTCTATGTTACCAAGTGATTTACAATTTTCATATCTCTCTAAATATTGAAAAAAAAAAAAAAATTCAAAGTCATATTTGAAATGATTAAAAATAAATTGATCAACTCCAATTTATGCTGAGGCTAATAATTAATTTGAGTTAAGAAAAATGTGTGCTCTAAGGTTAAAATGAAAATTAAAATATTGATGTTTTTTCATGTTTAACTTGATAAAGTGAGTAGACTCTATAGAAAGAAAGTAAAGTAATGAATGTGGGATCGCATATTTTTGGTGGTTTCAACAGTTCCCAAGAGTTTGTTCTCAAGTTATGAGTACTTGAAGTAAGTAGAAAACTTTTGCTTCTATAATGACTCAGTTCAAAAGATAAATTGTGACTTTGGAAAATCAGAATTATTTTATTCAGCAGAAGTCATAAGATCGAAGTGTTTTAGTATATATGGACATCATTAAATTTCATATTTAATAACTTCTACTCCTTTACATACTCACCATTTCAAACCAACATTTTATTATATAATATAAATAGCAACTATTTGCTTATTTAATTTAATGAGTGCTGTGCCAGTTATATATATATATTATTAAAATAAAAAAAAACTAATTTAATCTCTCGGTTCATTTGAAATATAAAGTCCTATTAATTTACATCAAATATTTACCTGATCCGACAATTATTAGAGAGATTGGCCAGTTTATTCGCTCAGCTTACCTATTCCGTGCCACTTGCATCGTTGCCAAGCGAAATGTTACGCAATTGGATCCAGGAACGAGGCACCAACGTAATCCTAATGATCATGCGGATGACGCGTCTGCGCGCTTTCGGCGGAACGCAAGCGTTTCGCAACGTACGGACGATGTTCAACCGTATATTTTACATGTGTATGGGTATATTGTGTGTATTATATATACACTATTACCATCATCACTATTACTATTAAGTATTCTTGCAAGTAGGTATACTGAAGGAGTAACAATAATTGTCTGTTATTTCGAAAATTTTGCCTTCAAATGCAGCAAAGGTTGCTTTACCTCATCATTTTTTTTTAGATTTATATTTCTAATATTACTTAGAAGCATTCGAAGGAATTACTATGCATAAAGATAAAGACATTATTTGAAATAGAAATAGATTTTTTATGTTATGTGCAATTTTGTTTTTTGTCAAGAATAATTATTAAGGTAAATAGAATTAATATTTTTTATTAAATATATACATTAGCTTTTTGTATATTGATTAATTTGTCTTCTATTGCTTCGAAAAAGCTTAATATAAAATTGTAGTAATTTAATTAAATTATTTGAGTTGATTTAAATATTTACAAATTTTTGAAATGTACATTTGATAGTTATTTGATTGATTATTTTTAATCATGCAAATTAAATATATATATATATTAATATCATCATTTAATACTGAATTAATGCCATGAAATGTATGATGCTACTCAGAGGCTTATTGAGTCAGTGAATCAATATTGATAAATCACAAACAGTAGTTGCTTTTAATGACTAAAGAGTATAGAACATGATATGTGATTTCTCTTCTATATTTATTTTTTTCATTTACATATTATCGATTAATACTTTTATTTAATATTCATTATTTATAGTAAAATTTATCTTGAAAAAATTTTATTATAAATTATAATTATAAATAAGATTATTTAAAATAACTAGATTTTAAAAAAATGATAAAATTTTTTAATTTAATTAACGAAAAACTATACAAGCGTTTCATTGACATTCCAACGGTAAATTTTGATTCCCTTGAGCGACCGTAGAAAGTAACGGATCCGGTGAGTGACCAGGTGACGAAAAAAGATAAAGAAGAAAAATACGAAGGACAATGACTTGAACAAAAAATCAAGTAGGTTTATATACGAACGAGAAAAAAAAAAAGATAGAAAACAACGATGAGAATAAAGAAAAAATTCTTTCAAGGATCAGATCAAACATCCTTTTGTATAGAAAATCTGCAGTCTTATTGAAGGAAGGACATTTGGGTGAAGAATATGATAGAAAAACTTTTAAGTTAAAGAGGAAGAAGTAATGATCCATTCGACGACGACGACGACGATGACGATGGCACGTGGCCTAAAACACGTGTCGAAAAGGTCGATGCTCCATTCCGGATTTTATTCGTTCCCCCTTGATTATACAGTCGGAATACTACATCTAACGTTACTCTTGAGAGTCTCAAATCTTATTTTCACGCTCCAAAAAAATATCTAAGCTAATAGACGTCTATGAGTTTTGAATTTACCAAGTATTTCATTACAAACAACTTTCTAGAAAAAATTTCTCTCATTTTCATTTTCATCTATTCTATAAATAACTTGCTATTTTTCTCATCTTTTATTCAAACAATTATTTAAATATTATAATAATTTACTTTGATATGTCTGTGAAAATTCACACCTTAATTACTTTCGGCCACTCTCAATGGATTTGTAATCATTTTTTATTTTTCTATCTTAGGAGTGTAATTGAAAAGTTAGTAAATATTAAAAGGAAAGGTGACAAAAAGATTTATTATTACTATTTAAAATGTGAAATTAGTTTTGATATAAACAGGAAATAACATTAGTTATAGTTTGACGCATTGCGCTACAGCACACCCTAAACGCACTTCTATCGCAATGTGAAGGGTTGGTAGTTTTGCTGGCACGATGCCATGGCACGTTATGGGGTTGGAACTGATGAGAAACGGTCGATGCAATGGTTGCCCCTGGCAACACATACCACTGAGTTCTGTTGGCCCCATTTACCTTGCAAACCTTGCAAACATTCACTCTAACTTTTACTCTTCTGTTCTCCATACTACTTCATAGTACTCAAATGAAGTACAACTTCCCTTATAATTTCTCCGCTTCACTCTCACTTTTATTCGTACTCTCGATAATATTAACGTTCATATTTTCATCTTACCTATGTCTATATATTATTCTAATGGTTTCTAATTTTTTTCTTTTACAGATTATGTGGTCTAAGGATTATCTTCTTCATGTCTAGTTATATTACTTGAAGGAAGTTGGGATGTTAATTTTTAAAAAAATTCTACAACAATTTCAATGTCTATACCTAGATAGATTAATTAGCCTGGAATCGATATCTTATCATGATGAAATTATGAATTTAAAAAATCGACCCCATGACTTCCTAATGGCAAGTTAATAAAATAGAAATATGAAGTGAGACTTGATGTGATAAATACACTAATGTTTAATCTAAGTTAAATGAAAAGCAAACAATTAATTCTTACATAAAAGTAAATTTTTTTTTATACATTAATTTAATTGAAATTAATTTACTCTTCAAAATTGTTTGATTTTATTTTTCATGACAGTATTTTATTTAAGTTTAAATATTTTTACCAATATGATTATTTTTTCTTATTATTATTCATGAACGTGTTATTTATAAAGAGAATTTTATTAATTAAAATTCGTAGAATGAAAAAAAAAAAAAAATCCCACGTACTGTAATAAAATATAGGGAAATTTAATTGGGAAAAATTCGTTGACTTATACAATTCACGCTTAAATAAATAGAATAAAATTTTGTCAACTTATTTTATGTGAATATTAGGTTGAAGATAAGTATCGATCGTATATATAAAATTCAAGAACATTTTTATCCCTCTTGTTCCGCCCCTTAGTTCACAATTCTCGACTGCAGTATTCTCCCTATAATTCTCCTATCCACGTGGTTCCCTAGCGGGATTTGATTCTCCATAAAACTGAGAAAAGAAAAGGAAAAATAAGAAATAAAGTATAGATATAAATATATAAGAAGAGAGATAAAATAGGAAATGCATAAAAATAAATTCATCCGTTAAAAATAGTAAAGAAACGTTAGAAATTCTAGACTTGATGATTGCTTATAGTTAAGTGGCTTTAAGTATTTTAAATATTTTGTAATAAAGAAACTCTAGTTTCATCTTTATTTTAAACTTCATCAAATCAAGATCTTATCCAAACCTTCGGTACAAAATGAAATTATAATAAAAATGTCTAAGAAAACTTCTCAAGTATTCTCAGCAATTTTCATTCCTTCTCTAATTGATTAGTTTTCTATTATTCTTAAGAATACTCCAACGAGTATTATTTTCATAATTATTTTAATCAATAAATCATGAGGATGCAAAAAATTCATAAAGTTAATTTCATTTATTACTATTTCAAACTCTTCTATTTTTAATCAAGTTTCCTAGAAGTTTTATAATTATCAATTATATAATACAACAATTAAAGCCACTCAGTATTTTTAGAAATTAATATCACGATAAAAATGTTTTAAAGTTTGATGTGAAAAATATTCTGAAGAATGAGTAAGAAAAAAATTATTTTAGCATACAGTGAATAAACTCATATCGTAAAAGGGGAAAAAACATTCAAAAATGTATTGCATGAAATCTTGTTGAGCAATCAAAATTTCTCCAAGCGATTATGTAGTTTTTATTCATCATTTTATTTTTTTTCATGGCATATAAACTACAACATAACATCAAACGTCTAGATCAGACAATAATATACTACACTAGTATAAGAGAAAAGATAGTATGTATATAGTTTAAAAAAAAAAATATATATATATATATGAGTTGTGGAAGTTGTCTTTGTTTTGAACTCATTTTCATCACGCGAGACTGGAGTTTATGTCTCGTGGAAATGTATCACTAAGAATTTATTAGCTGTCAACGAACTTGATTGACATTTAGGCGGTTTACTCTATATATTTTACATACATCTATATGTGTATATATATATAAATTCCTATATCTTGACAAAGTAACATACCGTTTATATCCTCCATTACTGATTAATCGTTTACAAACATTTGTCTGTATTCCTTCAATTTCTTGAAATATTACTGCTATGTTTTTGCCAAAATATCGACAGTAATATTTATTGATTTACCAAGTAAAAATTTATAAAAAGCTTCAATTAGCAACACATTCTAAATGACATCTCAATAATCATTATGTTATTTTTATCGTTTCGTTATTATCGACTTTTCACTTTATCCTCATCTATTTAAAAATAACAAATTAGTTTTTTATTACCATTTAAAAGTATTTATGCTATAAAACTCAATTTTCCATAATGTAACAGCTTTTTAGTATCAAATAAAATGATTAAAATAAATTATAAAACACACATCATACTTCTCAATAAATAATAAACATAATTCCAATTACTACATTTATAAATAATTAACATTAAGGGGGAAAAAATGAATAAAAATTTTTAATCGCTGGAATATTTATTATCATATTCACTGAAGCAAATGATTAATTCATGTAAATATTAATGTTTTCTTTTAATTCTAGACAGAAAAAAATACTGTGCCTGCAATAAGACTGTTTTATAGTAATTACTGGACTATCTTAGTAATAAAGACTGGAGACATGATATTTTTATCATGATAAAATGTTTTATAATAATTATTACATCATTTAAAAATAATTTAAATATTCTGTAATGTCATGAACGAGTTTACAGTTAGCATTGATTGATGTTGATAAAAAATATCTCTCTATCATTGACAGAAATCAATTATTACAAAAGCAGTCATATTACTGCTGGAGATCAGTCTTATTGCAAGCTCAGAACCTTGTTATATTATGACAAAATATGATTTTTTCCTGCAGATAATAATTCAGTGTTTTATTTTATTACAGAAGGAGGAATCAAGTGCTGTAAGAAACAAAATAAGAGTGGCTGTACATACATGAAACACGGGAGAATGATGTAAAATATAGGTATACTCAAAAATGCTTGTGGCGATTGCGCAGAATATCTACATAGCTTGGTAGCATGTCCGTACTATCGTATACATATAGACGTTATTGGTGGACGTGCAAGGATTCCGCGGGAGTCACTTGCAAACTTGTCAGTTAACAGTTGGTTACTTTATGACCAAGTTCTCTCATCAAGATTGCATAAAATCATCACAGTATGGTCAAAATGAAGCTTAAGACTACTACGACACCTCTACATTACCATTTGTAATGTAAAATATATCTAAAGGGTAAGTCTTTTTAATTTTTATTCAGTTTCTAGTTTACTTATTAATTGTATTAACTCACACCTAACATCCAATGATTTTTTTAACATTAATTATTTATATATTTTTACAATTAATTTTTTTAATAATATCTATCAAGAAAAAAAGTCTACTCTTAAAACAGATCTATTGATCTAATTTATTTATAAAATATTTTTATTTTTAAATGATATTTAAATACTTCTTGTATTCATGTCAATGACAGCTTTCTTTTCAGTAGTATATTCAAGAATAAATAAATATCGTTATATATATATATATTGAAATAATTTATTTAAGATATTTAATTTATGATTATTCATTTCTGTTATTAACAAATTTAAATTTTTGTCTTAACTTAACTGGATATTTTATGAAAAATAAAATTTTATTAAACATTAGAATATATAGTATAAGTAGACTTTTAAATGATTTGATTAAAATCATAAAATAATCCATCTTATCTTTGAAAATTCACTATCACATATGAACACGTGTTAAATGAAATCACCAAGTAAAAATGTGTATAAGATTCTTATTTATCTATTGTCAATATATCTATTTATTCACCAAAATAATATAAAATATGTATATTTTATTCTTTCAGATAATTTATGAGAAAATGATTAATGAAGTCTATTTAATACCAATTGAGATCATGTTAACAAATTTTTAACTCTAAATAATATGAATATTAAACAAAAAGCATTAGATATAGTTAAAATATAATAAAAGCGAGAAGTTAAGTCTGTGTATTTACAAGAACAAAATTACGTAACTCATCACGACCCACAGATAAGAAAGAGTGTTATCTGAAACATGCGACTATTGAAGCAATCACGCGGCTCTAATATACACAGACAATCAAGTAACAACATCGAGATCTCTCTCGTGTGCTTTGTCTTTGAACTTTTAATTTTTCCTTCAGTTTGAATTTTTTACATTTTTTTTTTTCCTTGTTTTCCTTTGCCATTTACACAATCATTAAAATTCTGTTGAACACGATATTGTGTTGAAGGACATTTTTATTTTATTTTCACGTAATTTTTAACAATTCAGTTATTCTATGTTTGCTGGTCACAGACTAAGTTACATTTAAATAAAAAAAAATCTGTCTCTCATTTAATCAATGATAATATAAAAATAGTTGTGATAATAGAGATAAAATCTTGACATTGTTTTTCAATAAAAAAAAAAAAATCAATAAAATATAAATTTACGAACTTGTATCACAGCTAAGAGAACCTCTTATCTTGTGCGATAACACACTAATTTAGAATCAACTTACTTGTATGTCTGGAAGAAATTGTTGAACAATAAAAGTCATATTTTTAGTGTCAATATTAGACCAATCAAAAAGATAGAAATAGAAACGATGAGATTTTACGTGAATATAATTCGTGATAAAGAAAACTAAAAGATAGTAGAAAATAATAAAAAAATTTTGAAATATAATTTATTAAAAATAATATATAATAAATATTAAATTTTAACTTGAAATTTTAAGTAGTATCATATTTTCTATCATGACTTCCGTATTTCTATCAATTTAACCACATAGAAAAATACGACTTAGTTAATTCTTAACTATAAAACTGTTACGACACGTCTAGTTTCCCCTCTTGCTAATCATTTTCCTCATCTTCTGTCTCTTTATTCGCAATAGAATTGCCTACTTATGAAACAAACACGCATTCGTATGCAATTTTACATGCATTTATATTCTAGTGAAGTTACATCGCCGTAACCTGATGATTACATATTTAAGAGAATATTTTAACATTGATAAATAATTGTGTTGATGATTAAATTGAAAATCATTTTAAAGGAATATTTTTTATAAAAAAAAAATTGTGATAATTATTCTTAGTATTATCAATGTTAAATTACCGTAAATTTCAAGAGTCTTTTTATCTAGATAAATACTCTTTTTAGAACTCAAAGTCATTTGTTAGTTAAAAATATTTTTCATTAAGGTATTTATGACCATAAAAAGGTATTGAATAAAATTGGTAAATTTTTTTGTAAGCTGTACCAATTGAATTGAACCTCACATCAAAGTTATATAGGCATACTCCCTTGAGAACCCGTAGTTCGATCAATACATGAAAGCTATAAGCCAATGCTGACCACAGCCTCTTATTATTTTCCATTAAATGAAAGAGAATCGTCGATTAGTTAAATCAAATGTGTGCAAAAATAAATAGTTGATTTAATCAAGTTGATCAAATTAATTTAAAGCGATAAAAATGAACTCCATTTCCATAATATATTTTTCTTTATTAAAAACTATTTAAAAACATTAGAAAAAAAAAACCGGTACACTATTTAATTTTCAATAATTCTTTTTTTTATCTACAATATTTAACGAGCATTCATAAAAAGTATTATATCACTAGTGCGTGTGTGATAAAGAGGAAGTGGAAGTTATATGGTCTGATTTCTTTTTCATCGTAATCTTCCGTGAAGAGAGACGAAAGAAACTAATTAGGTAGATGGCGCATGCTTTGCACTACAACTTCGTATTCTTCCGTCAACCTTCGGCATTTATTCGTACACTACGAGGACGTCTACAAATTATTTATCTCGATTTATATTAAAGGACCAGTTACAATAGAAAATTACACATAAAACTTTTTGGAATTGACAATAATACATAAAACTTTCAAATTACATGTATGCTTATGGTAATATTCTCTTCCTCTATTGTATACAGAAATATATATCTGTAAGACAGAACTAAAATTCATTCTTTTTCCTACAGTTTTATGTGTAATCTTCTATTGTAGTCGCCCATTAAGTACTTGTAATTGTTTAAATCACGATACTCATTCGTAATTATCGAGTCTAAAGCTTTTTAATTGTTGTATAATTATTTTCAGTGAACGTTAGTAATATTTTTTTTTCGTAGCCAATTGTTGGTATTATTGTAACTATGATTATTTATTTAGGTAAAATTAATAATAAACAGGATAAAATGATATAAATGTTATCACAAAGTAAGAACAAAGAAAAATCCCTAGCGACCGGCAATGCGGCAACATAGTGCGCTTGCCCATGGTGCTATGTGAGTCAAGGACGACACGTGCGGGTTCATAGCGACCTACTTATATCTCTCAAGCTTCGGGTACAATCGTACTAGGGTCCCGATCATAGCCGAAGTAATAAATAGGACGCCGGGATCCCAATACTCCTCTCGACTCACCTCAAACTTCTCTGCTGCACTTATTTTGTCTCTTCTCATTTAATCGTGAAAGCTACTACCACTCGACAACTGTCGACTATACTAACTAAGCTTTACTCATACTTCGAAAATTATTATTCAATTTAAAATAAAAATTATCATTATTCAAACAAATTGCAGTGATAAAATTCTAGTTTATTATATATTATTTATTAAATTTCATATTTATGAAGTTGATTAAAAAAAACAAAATATCTTCTAAGAAAAAATGGTGTGTGATAAAAGTAACTATACAAGTATTTTAGTTATTTTTGTTTTATATTAATGTACAACCTTGATTATTTAGTGCTATGGGTGGTGACTCTTTTGAGTAAGTATATTGAAAATTTCTAATATGTGGGCTTGCAGTAGAATGATAATATAAATAGAGGAGTATTTCATAAAGAGTTATTTTTAATCGACAACGGTTGGCAACGAATATGTAAATTTATTATTATGCTTCTATAATTAGATATATAATATCCATCAATTTATTACCGTTTTTTTTTGCAAGAGAAAATTTATGCTTTTTATTGTATATATTAAATAAAAAAAAAAAAATTGTTTTTATGATGAAGAATAAAAAAGCATGTAATATAAAAGCCGTTAGAGCGTAATTCAAAGGCAGCACTGCAGTGTTCCAGTTTTATAAACTAGATCGATAGAAAAATAGGTCAAAGGTCTAGCGTGAATCAAGTAAAATCTCATCGTGCGCAGTGTCATTAGAAAATTAGAGCGAGTGTGTAAAATTTTGCAATAGGGTCATATCTAAGTGTTAACAGCAGTAGGGGAAGAATGATTGGGGGATGAAATTGGGAGAAAAAAACGAAAAAATAGCCCCATTTGGCCGTTAATCGCGCGTGCGCCGATCGGACCTCCCACGTGTCCAAGAAATTCAGCCCCTCTTTTCCTCCATTATATTCCCTCTCTAAAAATTCGACTCATTTCTCCCTCCCCAGAACATCCTCTTCATCCATAAGCCCCATTTCCCTTTACGACAAGACAGGACAGACATAAGTAACACGTTTTCGCGCGTGGTACGACCAGTTCTTGTTCGACCGTCGTCGGAGACGTGGCTGTTGTGTGGCTGTAGGGGCTACTGTTCTGCCCCACTTAGTGTCTCTTTTATACGTTTCCTTCCCTCGCGCATCGTGTGACCGCCAATAAGAAGCCAACGCGGCTGCCAATCGACTAATCGTGTGATTACTATCGCGCAAGCGCAGCCATCACGCAACTCGGAAAGTGGGGAGACATAGAGTGCTGCGTCGGATACATTGATGAGCACATTCTCGTTTGCTGCAGCTCGCCTTAGAAGTCGGTTGTGTGTTCTCCGCGGACCTCCCGATTATATTAATTATATCTTAACCGATTATTCTCTGATATTTTATAATTATTAACAATACAACGCGAGTTATTTCTGTGAAGAAATTGAAGAAGCCAACGTGTAAAAGCCAAGTGATTCTTCTGAAGAATCTGGTGTTCGTTTTTTTTTCTGTTGGAGTTCGCGTTTGATTAACGTTTTATAAAAAAAACTTGGAAATTTTGAAAAAGAATTTTTTCTTTTTTTTCGTTTTACTTTGAAAAGTTGTTTAAATAATTCGCGGAACCTGTTTCTCTCCTTTCTCTTCGAGTAGTGTACCGACTATGTGAAACACTTCCGCATTGTCCACATTTCACGGTCGTCCGCCATATTGAGTTTCAACTGGGTCACCGGATTCAATAGCCTGTTTCATCCAGAGCTACATTTCTTTTTCGAACATACCTTATTTCACGCGACCTTTACGATTCTTTTATTCCATCGATTCCATTGTTCTTCCATCGTTTTTCCCTCTACATAAACGCACCCCTTGTCTTTTTTTCCCCTCGTGTGAATACTTCAGGACCTCGTGGCGGACCGGAATCGAGGGTTTCCGAGCATCTGTGCTCTCCTTTATGACAATCTTAACCGTCTTTCTTTCTCTTGTAACATCCCGCTTGTAATAAAAACGCGTTCCTTTCAAATCCTCTGTCTCTAACGTTCCATATAATAATACTAATCCCCTTTCTTTATCCTTTTCGACATAATACCAACATAGAAAACATTTCCAATTCTCTTTTGTTCTTCAAATACGCGAGAAAATTTGTATTCAAGTGGCAGTAAAATTACTTAAACAATTCAAGAACAAGATTCATTATAAGTAAAAAAAAAAGTATTATAAACCAAGGAAAAAAATGTCCGTCGAGTTCAGATGTAGTAAGTAAAGATGGCGACGAATCGCGCGCTCACAACGAAATGGTGTGGGGTAACTGTGACGCAACAATCACGTGACCAGACTGTGGGTAGACCAGGTCTTCTAGCTGGGGCAGTGTGTGATCTAACGTTTTTATATCAGTTAGTTCAGTTACGCGCTAGCAGCTGGTACTTATGGAACTCTTCAATCACTTATCATTTAACTATTTTAATCACTAATTAAAAAAAACCTACATTTCTTCATCGCCTCATCACGACAATACGGAAAATGATACTTTCCGAATTTATTTGGTCGCTGGGTCACTGGGGGTGAGAAACTGGCTTGACTCTATTTAAACAGTCAGTCTTTTTCTCTCTCCTATCGACTCTACGGCATACCATCGAAGATAAGGAATCATAAAAGGTATCTTGATTTAATGAGTGGTATAAAATTATAACATAAAATATCTGTTTGATAAGAAAAGAAAAAAAAAGACTATCAACGGCTGACTCAGCAGTGAACACTGTGTTCCCTTAGCTGTTTGCTTTAGAGGCTTTGGGTTCAAAGAATACACTGCAGCGAGTATTTAGCCAAACATCAAATAATAATTACAGATATAATAATTAATACTTATATGTACTGTTTGTGATTATGAGTTTAGTTTGATTTAAGTTCACTTAATAAATCTATATTGATCACAAGAGACAAAGAATTTCGAGTTGATTAATCAAATGGTGAATTGGATTTCAACAGACTAAGAATGCTCAGCAATGCAACTTCTTTGTCGCATGAAAAGGCAGTTATTCTGTCCGCAACACCGCTCACTTCTTTCTCTCTCTCTCTCTCTCTCTCTCTCTTTCTCATTCACTCACT